CATAGGCCCACACAAATGACCTCATTGGACTTTACTCACCTCCTTAAAGATCCTACCTCCAAGTTGCATTCTGAGGGACGGAGGACTCAGGACTTCAACCTGTGTGTTGGAAGAGGCCCCGATTCCGCCCATAATACATAGTGAGCACTTGGCTGCTGTGCTCATCAAAGCTTACCTGCCTTGTCAGCTATGACATTAAGCCTTTGTGGGGTGTGTGTGTGTGTGTTGTTGGGGGCTGGAGCACTCTACCACTGAGCCACCACATCCCCAGCTCACGTTGGTGTCTTTTATTAACCTGAAGCTCTGAGTTTCCTGGAGGACCAGCTCCTCCTCCTCCTCTCTCACTGAGAGAGCCCTGTCTGGACCTTGGCCATTGCTACAGGATGATCAGTGGCCTCCGTCCCCTGGGCTCCTCCCCAGGCCTGTGCCAGGCCTCACCTCTTCTAGCTGGAGGGCTCTTCCCCTCCCAGCCTCTTGCTGGCTGTAGAGTAGACCCCTCTGTGCCCTCTCCACAGCCATCTTCCCCACCAGGCTGTCAGCTTGACATGCCTCATTCCCAGCCCAGATCCTTCCACTGGGTTGGGCCTCTTGGGGCGTCATCGCCACAATCAGCAATGGCACTTCTTTCAGAGCCAGGCCTTGCTTTGCTTCTCTTAATGAAAGAAGGACACCTAAGGACGCTAATGTACCACAAGCCCTTTTATTCTTTACCCCAAACAGGCCAAAGAATACTCAGAAATGACCCACATGGCCTGCAGCTTTCCAAAAATAAGATTTTTAATTTTTTCTAATATCCAGTTGATCCACAGAAATCCGCAACCACTCCCTGGGGTGGCAGGAATGGGCTCAGCCTACAGCCCTCAGCCAAGCCCTGCCAACCCCACCTGGAAGCTGCTTAAAAAAAAAAAAAAAAAAGACATCTGACATCTAACCGTCTCCCTGGGTAGAAATGGTGGCTTATGGGAATCCAAGCATGACTCTATTACCGCGGCTGGGGTGGGTACCATGTCTGCTTTCTCAGATAAGCAGGCTCGCAGCATTAGCTGGACAGTTCCTCCCAGGGCTTTGTCAAGCATGGTGCTGCTCTTTCTCAGTGTATCGCCTAGGGTTGGGCCAGATGGCTTTGTTAAGTTACCCCAAATCAGTGGGCAGTGGGCACAATTCGTACATCTTACTTGGTCCCCACAAGAAAAGGGGAGAAACATCATTAATTGTGTAATGATGTAATTAATTGTGATACTTCAGAGCCATCAAAGGGAACTCAGACAAGGTCCCTTAGAGAGCACTGAGTACACATGGTACCTAGGAAAGCAGGAAAGGAGGGAAGGGAGGGAAGGGGAGAGAGGGAAGGAGGAAGAAGAAAAGGAGGAGTAAAGTGCAAGAAAGAGGAAGGCAGGAGTGGGGGAAAGGAGGGTGAAGAATAGATGAATGAAAAAGAGGGAGGGAGGGTGATGGAAGGGAGGAAAAGAAAAACGGAGGAAGAAAAGAAGGAAAGGTCCTGTTCCCCAGAGCTTTCCCTCAGCAATTTAAACATAGTAGGTACTTAATAAGGTTTGCTGAATTGAACCAAACTGCTCAAGTATCTTTAATACCCTTTTTCCTACTCCAGCCTCCCTTTCTAGGCATTTTCTCTCCAGAGGGGTAAATACAAAAGGAAAGCATCCATTCAGCCAATTTGACATCCTCCTGGGCACTCGGGAACCTGAAAAGAGAGGACAGATAATCCACACACTGTCTTCACGCAGGTTTCCTTGGAGGAGACTCAACAGTCTGGGAAATAGCCCTTTGGGTTAAAGCTATCTGCTTTTATCCATAGACAAGTAATGAGTGAACAGCGCATACTCTTTTTTTTTTTTTTTTGGTCTGTTTGTTAAAGACCATAAGAAGCAAAGCCAAGTGCAAACAGTAGAGAGGTATAAATAAACAGCCTTTGTGCTCAGTGGCAGGGAAGAGCTAAGCATGACGAAAGGAGAAACTGTACCAGGAAAACTTCCTCCTGGCATTTCTTATGCCGCTAGCAGGAACCAATTCCTCGAAATAGCCACATTCACAGCATCTTTCTTCTAATCCTGATATTAGCTTCAGAAATGGCATTACCCAGGCCTGGGGGGAAACAGGAACCCCTGCCTTCCCCTGAGGAATGCAAAGTTCTGTGAAGGTCACATTTCAGGGATGTGACAATTTATATGCATTAAATTTGGCTTCCGTGTCTATTTATCCTAAATAATGTAACTACAGAAACCCTCATCTGCAGCACTGATGATAAATTATTAGGGCTGCTGAAATCTTTTCCCTCTCAACCTTGGATTAGGGGCAAGAAGCTGCCATGGAAGAATATCAAGAAAGTGATGCTCTGTGGGAAAGAAAGACCCAGCCATACATTTCTGTTTCATTTGCTGTGCCTCACATTGATCTGGGCATGCTCATTTACCACCTACTTCCAATTTATGTAAAAGAGGAGCTGCTTGCTCAGCTGGGGGATAAAGCGTGAGTTGCAAAGAAGTATTTACAATAATGTGACCTATGGGCACAGAAAACAGAAAATATTTACCAAAGGATGCTCACTTTGTCTCAGGAGAAGTTGTTACAAACATTTTAGAAGCATTATATTTTATGATTTTTTCACTATTATGTATACATGTATATATATACACATATAATACATCATATACATGTATTTATAATAGAAATTTTTAAATAAAGAAAAAGTAAAATCCTCTTTAATGCCACTAATTACAATCAGTATCAATATTTTAGTATTTATTCTTTTATTCTGTTTCTTATACATATTTATAAACATTTATATTTTCATAAAATAGAAAATGTATTCATTTAGTAACCATTTTGCTTATTAATTATAAACATGTTATTAAACATTGTTCAATAACATTCAAGGCGAGAGGGTTTTACAAACTTAATAGATAAAGCAAGGTATCTGAACTTAATTTCTTGAAATACTACTGAAACTTGATAATTTTAACTTCAGCTTGAACAGATCAGAGAAAATTGGAGGCAAAGAGTACAGCGGTGAAACAGAGCAAACTTAATTAATAAAACATAAGAACATCAAAAGCTAATAGTAGTGTTTTATATCCTTATATGGTAAAATGTGGTAAATATATTATTATGGAATTATGGAATTTAAAGTAAGACAAACAAAAAAGTCACGATCTTACTGGTATTCAAAGCAGCAATGCCATCATCTGTCATCTTATGGTCACCATTTGCTTTGACAATGGGAAGAGGAGTCTTCATAAAGACTAAAATTAACTAAGTATCACACAATGGATCTATTGGAAACTCCATGTATGTATGATAAGTAAATTACATACAAATAAGAATATTGATAATATTAACATGTGATGCCCATAACAAGAACCTTGAAAGAATAAAACAGCAACTTCTGAGCATGGTAAATATTTACAGAGAAAATTCTGCATGATCTCACAAGTCAAATTAAAAAAAATTGAAGTCATGGAATTAGAAAACAGAACGGTGGTTACCATGGGTTTGGGAGATAGAATTGAAGAAAACAAATTTTCAGTTTTGAGTAATAAATTCAAAAGATCTCTTGATCAGCAGGGTGACTAGAGTTAGTAACAATGTATTGTATTCTTGAAAATCAATGAGTAGATTTGCTATTTTCAACACACACACAATAAAAGATAAGTATGTGAAGAAATGTATAAGATAATTAGCTTGATTTCGCCATTCCACATCATACATGTATTTCAAAACTGTGTGTTGTACATAGTAAACATACAACTTCTATTCGTCAATTAAAATCTTTCAAGAATTTTACAGAGGGGAGAAAAACACTAAGTAGATAAGCCATATATATATATATATATATATATATATATATATACACACACACACACACACACACACACACACACA